CCCTGGAATTCAGAAAGTTCCATTCACCCATTCTTAGACTGAGACTATTTACATTTCATAGGTCAAGGCTAAACATGTTTTATGATGCATGGATTAGTTGCTTTTTAAAATAGTACCTGAAAGCTGATTTCACATATCATATATCAGCCATATAATTCACATATATAAGCTTATTTTTACCCCTGCCAAATCAGAAGGCTAATATCAGGGCAGGAATTTGGCTTATATATATGAGTCAGTTCTGCCTCAGATACCCACCCCCTGATGGGAGGAGGGAGTCCCTAACACAAGAGGGGGCATTGCACCCCTGCCCACATCTTTCCCCTCCCCCGTAGAAATTAAATTTGTTCCATTTCCTGCCCTCTGCCCCCCAGTTTCTTATCTGAGAGTTTTCACAGATAGGTGATTGTAGGCCTAAAGCCACAGAGTAGTAGTCACAATTCTGGTAGCTAGCAGAGGTCTGGGGGTGGGGCATTTTATCAACTGTCTTTCAGCTAAATTAAACTTGGGGATTGCATTGTAACCCTGTACAGAGAGGATCTCTGCAAGGAGGCTTGCAAATGTAAGCAGGGGAATAGTCCCGCTCTTGTAGGGAACTTTCCTGGCTTCTGCACTACCCCGGTGAAGTGGGCTAGCGAAAGGATCTGAGTCCTCGCTCCCACTTCCTTTACCCAATGGCCTCCCTGCCCTTGAGGACTCCCCTTCCACTCTCCTGTCTGGCAGAGTCCTCATAACCCCAACAAGGCTGGGCCCAGGATTCCTGGGGAGCTCGACCCCCAACCCTGCTGTGGTCACCTAGGACAGGGGCTAGGGTGTCCCCACTCTGGGGTACTCTCTCTGCACTGGGCACTTCTCTGACCCACTGACCATTACATACAATTTAAAGCAAATGCAAGTTATTTAATCAACAATTAATTTTAAAAAGAATAAGGAAAAATGGGAAAGATTAAAGGAAACACATCCACCTGCTCTGTGGCAGGGAACATCACAAACAGTGTCTCTGGAATGTCAGGGCAGTTCACAGTCTGTTCCTTGTAAGTCCCAGGCCTCCTTCTCAGACCCTGGCTGTGCTGCAGGGATACTGTGGGTTGGACACTTGCTTTGGTGGTGGCCACACGCTCTCAGGCTCTAAGTGGTAGGACCCTTCTTCCCAGTGTCGCCCCCACCCTGTCGGGATTACGATCCAAGCCTGGCCTGCAGAGCCTCTTGGCTGAGGCGTCTCCCTGTGCTGGGCCTGCTGCCCAGGGTCCCCCTTGGTCTCCCCAGCTGCTCCCTGCACCCAGCTCCAGACTGCTCCAGCCCCAGCTCCTCCACTCTGTCTCTGCTGCTCTGCCTCCAGCTCCCTGGGCTGCTTCTTTGGCCCCTCTGCCTCTGGTTGCTACAGCTCTGCTCCCAGGACAGGTCTGCTCTGCAGGCTGCTTCTGTGACTCTGCTCCCAGCAGTGACTTGCTTCATGCGCTGCTTTTCTGGCCCCTCTGGCTCTGGTTGCTACAGCTTTCTTCCCAGGGCAAGTCTGCTCTCTCTGGGCTGTGCCTCTGGCTTTGGGGCTGCAGCTCTGCTCCCAGGACAGGGTCTGCTCTCCCTGGGTTGCTTTTCTGGTCCCTCTGGATCTGGCACAGCTCTACTCCCCAGTTTAGCTTGGGCCCCCGCTTTCTCCTTAGCTCGGCCCCACTCTGTCTGACCCAGGCAAATCCAGCTCACACTGAGGACGGGACCCCCCTGGCCTCCTGACTCCCTGATTAGCCTGCCTACCCTGTCATTCAGGCTGACCTGGAGCATTGGCCTCTCCCCATTGTTCCTGGGGACTATCAGTCTCAGGGTCCTGATTCCCCATCGACCCTTCCTGCTTTTTAGTACTGGGAGCTAGCAACTAAAACACCCCCACTGAATGTTAGTAAGGAGGCAACAGTCCCCTTACACAAAGTATACAAAGTCGCTAAGTGGGGACACGGTTCTATGCTGGAATTTCTGTGACCAGACCCTGCCTACCTGTTTGGAGGGAAAAGAAGGAAAGAGTTCTGTTCAAACTGAGAGAGAGGAGAAAGCTCCATTTAGAGCGCATCAGAGTGCGCGGACGGGCTGACTTGAATTGGAAAACTCCTCTAGAGCCTAGAAGAAACATTAGATGGACTGTCCAGGTTCCAGGGATTGTGACATCATTGCAGAGTCAAGGGGAACTCCTAGACAGGCAACAGGCTATGAATACGAGCTCTGTTAAAGCTGATAAGGCCCTTTTTTTTTCCTTGTGGGATATATGCACACACTGGCAATGTGGGTGGAATGGGAGCCAATATAGTTTTTATCAAATCTGGATTTTTCAAATGGAAAAATACACTTTTGCCTGGAAAAAGTGTAATCAAATATGAAAACTGCTTCGTCCACTTGAATAAAATAGCGGATTGGACTGCAGCAAGGAAAAGAGGTGCTACAGATAATTTTTTGCTATTTCTACATTTCTGTGACAATCAGGGTCCAGACACCCCAATGGAAGAACAGGGAGTCTGAACTCCAAACAATATACAATTGAATCAATGGTCGGAACAATTTGAAACTGAATAAAACCCCTTAGTCCTGGAAAACTAAGGCTTGGATCTGCACTACAAACTTATATCAGTACAACTGTGTTGCTCAGAGGTGTGGAAAACCCACCCCTGAATGACAGTTATATCAACCTAACCACCAGCATAGGCAGCGCTATGTCAACAGGAGGACTTCTCCTGTCAACATAGTTACCGACTCTTGGAGTAGCTATGCGTAAGTAGTGTCTTCACTAATCGCTACAGCAGTGCAGTAAGTGTAGACAAACCCTAAGAAAAGAAAAATTTCCCCACACTGAAGAACCATGAATCACCATGCCAAGTGTAGGGGGTGGGGGAAGAAAGAAGTGGGAGAGAGAGAGCGAGAGAGAGAAACTAAAAAAAAAAGGATCTTTATTTATTTATACATTTTAAATTTCTTGTCTTGAGGAAAGCTTCAAAACTTGATGTGGTAGATCCAGCATACAAAAAATGTGCTAAATTTTATTATGTCAGTGTGTTCATTTTCTCAATAACATTAATGAATGATTTTGGATGATATTTATTTTATCATAACTTGCATTTTCAAGTTCCACAATTGCTGCTTTGGTGTCACCTTCACACTGAAAGAAACTAGCACTATTTAAAAACCTCGGCAAAAATTATCCAGTTTGCAGTGATAAATGAGTTGCTTTTGAGAGGAGATCAAGATATCGTAAACTTCAAGGACTTAGATCTTACTGTGAACAATTAATCAGGAATTTTCAATCAACATACTTACGTTTATCCACTGTTTTATGCTCTGTTGATGGCAAAAGCCAAGGAGAGACTTATTGGACTAGCCCAACTGCATGGACTCATTGCTGAAGAGATTACACAATAGATTTTGAAAGATCTCCACAAACTGGCTCTTGACCTTCAAAATACTTTGTTCTTGCTTTGATGATGCAAAAGTTATGTCAGGGTGCAAAGGAGGTGTACAAATGCTTTTACAACAGACATTGTGCCCACAAGGGTGAGGGGAGAGAGATACCAGTGAAAGGAGGACACTCAGGCCTAAGAATAGTAAACTATGCTTTATTGAAGGAAGGAAGGAAGGAAGGAAGGAAGGAAGAACTTATGCTCCAATCTGCGTGGGGAGCCCCTAGGACGCACGGAGGGGCTGCAGGGGACTCTGGCTGTTCGGGACAGCTGACCAGGCAGGACTCCACCGGGGGGGGAGTCCTCTGCGGAGCTATATTCTCCGCGCTTATCTCGGGGTCAACAGCTGGTTACATTCTTATATGTATGATTTATGCTTATTACATAAACTAACTTGTTTACAGGAAAAATATGCTGAGCTATGCTACAATATCTTTTGGCAGGGTCTGTCGGACAAAGTTTGTTGAAACTGTCTGCATCCTCCGCTTACATCCAGTCACGTACTCAGTCCACCACTTAGCTCCTTGCCAATCTTCCACAACCTTGCCTCTACACCCTAGGGGCTCCCCGCGCAGATTGGAGCATAAGTTCTTCCTTCCTTCCTTCCTTCCTTCCTTCCTTCCTTCCTTCCTTCCTTCAATAAAGCGTCGTTTACTATTCTTAGGCCTGAGTGTCCTTCTTTTGCTGGTATCTCCCCCCCTGCCCTTGCGGGCACAATTGGCATCACGAACAGAGTACCAGTGGAGGGATGCCTCTTTGGGGAAGGAAAGATAAGGGGGAGGGAGAGAGCCACATCCCCGGGTGGCCCTCCACAGGACGGTGGGCACTGGTGGCTTGCAAGCTGGTGGGTTGGTTGTCCCCGCCGCATGGCCGGAGCTAGAACAGGAGCTGGGGGTTACCCCAGTTAGGCTGGAGGAACTGATATCCAAGCTCTGGCTGGACAAAGTAGGACCCACGGAGTGAAAAGCAGTGGGGGACCTGGGATGGGTCTTCCTGACCGCGCTCCGCGCGGTGGACAAGGTGCTGCTGGTTCAGCAACAGAGGATAGGAAGATAAGAGGCTGATTTGCAGCAAGCAAATGAGGCCCGTTTACTAACCCAAGAAGTCATCACTAGTACGGCCGAATGGGCCGAGTGGTTAAAGCACCGATGCGCGGTTATGGCGGCTCGTATTGCGAACCACTGGCGGTGAAAGGCAGGACGGCAAGACGTGTGTCCCCTTGCCGTACGTGCACTGGTGCGCAAAAGCGACTGGGATCCAGAAACCTGGGATGGGGACATTTGGGAGACAAGCGAGGACGAATCTCCCGGGGAAGGCGGGGCTGTACCCACAACTGCGGCCCGTTGTCAAGACACTATACGAGGGACCGCATGGGGAGAACGATCAAATGGTAGGGAGGGATTTTATCCAGCAATATAAATCCTCCGAGATACAGGATTTCGTGCAGCGTTTCAAGCAGCGTCCCAAGGAACCGCTGCTGGCCTGGCTGCTATGGATGTGGGATGATGGAGCGGATGCGATTACCCTTACCCCTACTGAGCTAGGCAGGATGGGCTCGCTCACCACAGACCCCCTCCTTTGTAGGAGTCTCAAGATAGGGGCGAACTCGGAGGCGAATTATCCGTATCCCTCCCTCATGGCATGGTTGACCATGGCTATCAAAACCATCTGGAGCTCGCCCGCAGACATGGATGACGGGTTGAAACAGTGGGCCTCCATCCCAGAGGGGGTTAGCCAGCTCCGACAGCTGGGCATGCTCATTGGCATATTTGCCGAGCATTTTGAAGGGCATGACGTTGTAGACCTGACCAGTACCATCCGCACCCAGCTTCTGCGGAACTGCCCCCCCTCAAGGCGATGATCCTGCCAATGGTTGGGTGGCCATAGGATTGGTGGGGGATGCGGCACAGCTCATGATGCAATTAATGGAAATTGACAGTATGACGAAAACCACAAAGCTGCGGCAGGTGAATGAGAAGCAAAAGGAGAGGGTTAGCCGCAATACAGTGTTTAAAGACCTACTGAAAGCAGGGATTCCTTTGGGGAAGTGGATGGGAAAACCAATGCTGAGCTGTTAAAATGCTGGTTACACCTTAAGCCGGAACAGCGTATCAAGGAGAGGGTAGGGGCCCCGATGAAAGGGCGGCCCCAAAACAAGGTAGATGGCACCCCCCAGTGGCCCCAACCTTCTGCCCCACTGGCAGACTATATTGAATGGAAGCTGCCTGCCCAGTATTGACGGGGTGATGGGTCCCCCTCACCCCCTGCCCTGGAGGTAAGGTGCTATGTTGTGGGAGACCACCGTTCTTATGTCCCAGTAGAGATCTGCTGCCCTAGCGGGGAGGGGGGGGAACAACGAGTAATGGCCCTTGTGGACACAGGAGCGGAGGTGACAATACTGCATGGCACCCCGCCCTGTCGGGGCCAGTTGGTAATGGTGAGCGGCCTCGGAGGGGCGGAAGTTCGGGCCATGCCGATGCAGTTACGGCTGGCCATCGGGAAGGCCCCCCCATATGAGTCTCTGTGGAGTGCCCAGGCCCTGTTCCACTGTACTCTCCCAGAAGGCACAGATCCACTGCTCCCAAAGAACTGTACATTTGAGTTTAATGGTTTCACCTCAGGATCACTGCTTTGCTCAATGTACAGCACCTAAATGTACTATCAATGAATCTAAAAGAATAAAAATTTAAATAATAGCAAGTAGGTAGAAGTACTGGAAACAATTGGTTACATCTAAACCAAAATTGTAATATGCCTTGTAAAGCTTAGACTAACAAGCCATTCTCCTGTCTCAAAGGATAGCTCACCCAAAGTCTCTTTCCCGACTGCCAGGCCCAGTGTGCCCCTCTGTTCCTAAGATAAGCACTCTGGCTGCTTGTCCCCTAGGTGAAGGATACCAGACCAATCCTTTGATCTTAGTTATAAACAGGATGCCCTCCTGATGTGCATTCCTTCCTGTAGATTTTGTGATCCCCTGTCGACTTCACAGTCTTGATTAGCTGGTTGTTCCATATGCAAATAGACTTGCATTGTGAGAAGAGATAAGTGTCTACAACCCCCTGCCTGAACAGAACCTGTTTATCACCTTCTGGTGACCTGTTGTAACTTACATATTGTAAGAACACAGTTTTCAGTATAGATACATGCATACCTTTTTAAATAATATCCTTACAAATATTTTGCAATGACTATGATGACCAGCAGGCTACGGGCTCTCAGAGACCTTACATGCTATCCTTTGTATAACTATTATGTAAACATCAGACCCAAGTGATCCTGTAAACCTCTGTGCACCCCTTATGCCCTCTGCCACTTGGCATTAAGGGGTCCCTGGGTCACATATGGTAACATTGTGTGTTATAAAACAATCTTTATTAAATTTTTATATCTGAACAATGATTCAGTGCTGTAATATAATTTAGAGACCATCTTGGGGTGAAATCCTAGTCACACTGATGTCAATGGCAAAATTCCCATGGACTTCAATGGGATCATATTTCACCCTTGGAGTTTTACTCCAGCATGAAGTAATCTAGAGTTAAAATAGCCATTTAGTTATGATTATTAATGTATCAAATGCCAGGTAGCTTTAATTGTCCAAGGACTAACTCAAAAGGCAAAAACTTATCTTAAATTTTAATTATGGCATTTACATGATTATATTTTTTGTCTAGAGAAAGAAATCAGAGTGAGCGTTTCTTCTTAAAATTGCATTTTAGATTAAATCCCTAATGTCCATTGAGAATCCACAGTAGTAGTTTTCATTTATTGCCAATTGGCAACAAGTGGTACGAACACACTTAAGGGCTGACTGAGCAGGCTTTTTTACAGCTGACCTCAGCCAAAATGTAAATTGCATCATTCCACTGAATGTTTTTGCTTTTAAGACAAATGGGAACATTATGGACTATTTTCTTAGTCTGCTGAGGAGCACAATCAAGCCCTATCAGACTTTTGGAAACTTGCCCCTTAACCAAGATTTTATGAAGCTTACATACTCTGATTGTGCCTTTATTATGTAGATTATTTATCCTGATTATATTTAGGGCCCTATGAAATTCACCATCCATTTTGGTCAATTTCTGGTCACAGAATTTTAAAAATAGTCAATTTCATGGTTTCAAATGTTTATATCTGAAATTTCATGGTATTGTAACCATGGGGGTCTCGACCCAAAAGAGGATCATGGGGGAGTCGCAAAGCTGTTTTAGGGAGGTCATGGGATTGCCACCCTCACTTCTGTGCTGCCTTCCGAGCTGGGGTCTGAAGGCCGCAGCCGTGGAGCTTCCTGAAACCTGGGGAGATTCCCAGAGGTAGGGCTGATCTCCCCATGCTGCTGGGAGTGCCCCAGCGGGGGGCTCCTAGCTGCTAGTCCCAGTTGGTCTGGGGAGGGATGGGACTTCCCCAGAGAGCGGCCGTGCAGACGAAGAGGGAGATCAGACCCTCCTCTGGGAACTGTCTCCGGCTGCAAGAAGCTCCCTGGCTGCTGCTCTCACAGCCCAGCTCTGAAGGCAGCGCAGAAGTGGAGCTTCCTGCAGCTGGGGCAGGTACCTGGAGGTGAGTCTGATCTCCCCCCGAGAGTAGGGTTGCCAACTGTCGAATCACACATACCCAAACACACTTCGCCCCACCTCCTGTCCTGGCCTCCCCCCAAGGCCCCACCCTGCCCTTTCTGAGGGTCCCCCACCCCGCTCACTCCGTCCGCCCTCCCTCCATTGCTCACTTTCCCCCACCCTCACTCACTCTCTCATTTTCACCAGGCTGGGGCAGGGGTTTGGGGTGCGGGCTCTGGGCTGGGGCGGAGGGGTTTGGAGTGTGGCAGGGGGCTGTGGGCTGAGCCTGGGGCAGGTGGTTGGGGTGCCAGAGGGGGTGCAGGCTCTGGAAGGGAGTTTGGGTGCAAGAGGGGGCTGAGAGCTGGGGCAGGGGATTGTAGTGGCTCTGGCCAGGCGGTGCTTACCTTGGGCAGCTCCTAGAAGTGGCCAGCATGTCTGGCTCCTAGGCTCAGAGGTGGCCAGGTGGCTCTGCACACTGCCTCTACTTGCAGGCACCGCCTTCGCAGTCCCCATTGGCTGCGGTTCCTAGCCAATGGGAGCTGCAGAGTTGGCGCTCGGGGTGGGGGCAGCATGCGGAGACCTCCTGGCCACCGCTGTGCTATTTGCTTCCGGGAGCTGTTTGGAGCCGTGGCAGATAGGGAGCCTGCCTTAGCCCCACTGTGTGCTGAATGGACTTTTAGCGGCCTATTAAAATTTTCCGGACTGGTTTCCATAGCCACTGGGAGATCAATTCTGATTCCAGGAGACTCCTGGCCAATCCAGGAGGGTTGGCAACGCTACCTGAGAGTAGCCATTCAGGGGAAGAGGAAGTCCCGTCCCTCCCTAGCCCTGCTGGGACAAGCAGCTGGAGCCCGCAGCCCTGCCCTGTCCCATGCAATAGCTAGATTTCACGGGGGAGTTATGATTTCATGGTCTGATGCGTTTTTCATAGATGTGAATTTGGTACGGCGCTAATGATATTGATTCTGTTTAACACCAGCCTTTAAAAATGAGACAACACAATACATATTGTTTACCTCTTGAAATATCTGTATGTAGGTTTCTTTAAATATAATGTACAGAAAACATACCTGGAATGTTAACTGTCTCATTACACAGCAATAAATATATAATATGAAGATAAAAATAACTAGCCTTCATGAACAATAAGTGTTAGCTATCCAGTAAGTTAAGTTAGTATTTCTTATTGAGTATGATGTAAAACACATCTCTTCTCTGAGCCTATAGCTAATAAACCCTAAAGGTGGATCTCAGTGCCCTTTTGCATCAAGCCTGAGTAGATAAGCTTTATGTAGGAATCTATGCAGGGGTTGCAAATCTAACTTCCAGCTCACAAATGAAGTGTGAGGCAGTTGTTATGCAGTCTTCAGTCCCTCATTTGGAACAGTAGCCACAAACCTTTTGCACCCCTCTGAGTGACTTTTGGCAACTGGATCTACAACAGCTGTGGACCACAGGCTGCTCCTCCTCTCCTGTCCCATCCTCAAACCCTCCTCTATCGTAGTTTATACATAGTTGATTTAGGGCCTAATCTTATCCTGATTTCAACAGGACTATTCACATAAGCATGTGAGTAACTTTACTCAAGCCTTTGGAGGATCAGCCAAACTTCATGCTAGAATGGGCTATAGGCTCCCCCGGTGTGTCAGCTCCATGGTTGTACACCCCATGTACAGCAGAACATACAATTCCACTGCAATGGGGGCATTCTACAGCCCCCATTGCAGTGGGGGCTGTAGAATGCCCCCATTGCAGTGGAATTGTATGTTCTGCTGTACATGGGGTGTACAACCATGGAGCTGACACACCGGGGGAGCCTATAGCTCCCTGGCCATAGCTGAATTTAACCCAGTTCACTGCCTATATTATATATAGGAACCCTATAGCTTATCCAGATGCAAGCATTCTAGACATGCTAGATGAATAGGGCAGCTTGCAAGACAGAATGGATATCAGCACTGAACCACTGCCAGAAGCAGAAACAGAAAGAGGAGTGAATCTGTTAAAAAATAGGAAAGCTGGAGGAATAGATAATACAACAGCTGAGCTGCTACAAGCTGGTGGACAAATGCAAGAAAAACATTAGGAAAAATAAATAAGAAGGTATGGGAGCAAGATGAGGTACTGGATGATTCATAAGCTTATTATCAGTGCCAGGAAATATGATTAAAGTAACGGCCAACAGATTAAGACTAGTTTTAGAAGAAGTAGTAAATCAGGAACAGTGTGGTTTCAGACC